CATTATAAACTGATTCCTGTGGCATCGATCTAGTTATTTCTTGCTTCTTCACCATCACCCTTTCATTTGGTTCACTTCTAAACCTGGTCTGCTATTCATGCTTTCCAAATTTCTGGATTAACCTTGTGATATGGTATATTATAAAAAATCTTGAAGTTCAAAACATAGGCAAAAATTTCTATTGTCCAAAAGGTTGATTAAACATCGAGGACTGCCAACTGGAACTTCTAGTGACTATAAGCTTTCCTTTCATAAATCGCTGTTTCCATCCCTGTCATTGAAATATATATCTGCTTACCTGTTTAATTAGCCTTAGTTCAAGATATTTTCCAATTTTTTTCAATGACTGTTAAATCTTATTTTCTGGACATCCAGTGCCCCTTTAAAGAGTGGTGTTTGTTTGCTATTCGCTAATCCTTGAGCACTATTTTGAATGATTCAGAAGATAGGGGTGAAGACATAACTGATTGTAAGAAGTTCAGTTAAAGATTTGTTTTGCTCTCTTGAACATCAATTCACTGATTACTAGTTTAAGTGAAATTTGTGTTGTAAATATAAGTTGTCAGTAAGCAAGGCAGAATAACTGGTATTTATGTAGTTGGTTAGGTTATAGCAGTAGTAGTACAAATTAGATTGGATTAAATTACCTGAGCTACACACGTAGAAGAACCAGCAATGACTTGTAAGCTGATAATCTGGCCATGTATCTGTGCAATAACTGAGCCTATTTAGTCTTGGTAATGTTGCTTGACTCCTTGGCTCAGTGGTTAGCACTGCTGCTTCACGGCGCCAGGGATCTAGGTTTGATTCCACCCTCCGTTGACTGTCTGTGTGGAGTTTCCTCTGGGTGCTCCAGTTTCCCCCCCACAATCCAAAGATGTGCAGGTTAGGTGGATTGGCCATGGGAAATACAAGTTTACAGGGTTAAGGTAAAGAGTGCATCTAGGTAGTACGTTTGGTGTGGACTCAATGGGTTGAATGGCCTGCTTCCACACTGTAGGTATCCTATGATTCTACTCCAACTCAGCTCACCTGCCTCATTTCTAGAGTTAACACTATTCTAACATGCAGTTTTTGATCTCTCTCATTGTACATTCTGTAAGCATGAGATCATTCAAAGTGTGCCCATGCCCTAAGTTCCTCCTACCTCTAAAATTTCTCCCAGCTTCCAATGCTCGGTTATCTGCTACTTCAATTCTGTCCTCTTTGTGATCACCACTGATGGGTGTGCCTTCACTTGCGATGGCCCTAAGCTCTGGAGATCCTTCCATAAACGTCTTAGAACCTTTACCTCACGTTCCTTCCTTAAAACACTTATTAAAGGTGACTTCTTTGTCAGTATTTTCGTCAACTGTGCTAGTTTCTCATGTGGCTAACTGTCACATTTTAACTTTATTGTGAAGTGTCTTGGGTCATTTTACAATGTGATTAAAAACATATTTGATGTTAATGTGGCATGTGCTGGATGGGCACAGAATTCCTGTGGTGAACAGAAGGGAAATATGAAAGGAGAATAAGATTCTTAGAAGAATAGATGCTGAAGATATAGAAGGGAATGAAGACTCTCAAGTGCACTTCAGTCAATGGTGAATGTGATGGCACCAATAAATAATGGCTCCAATGAGCATGTGTGCAATGTAGGTGGTAGATGGACGAATGTACAGCCAGTCCTTGGATTGTGAATGGGTTCTGTTCTTGAGTCTGTTTGCAAGTCAACTTATACGTAAGTAGGAACACAATGCAAGTCACTATAAAATAACCGTTTGTAAATCCAAGGAAACATTCTTATGTTGGATCTTTAAAATTACACACCTGGATGGGATTATGTTTGTAGATACAAGAATTCATAAATTAGATGATTGTAAATTGGGGACCCCCCTGTTGTCTACATGAGTGCTAACTTGCTTATGATGTCTTATTTAGTGGATTGTTTTGGGTATTGCATCAGTAAATTGTTCAACAGAAATGTTGCTTTTTGAATTGTTTTTCCAAATTTTTCTGTTTGGCAAATTGTCAATGATTAACGCATTCCTTTATGAAGCCTGTAAATTCTAATGTGTTCTTTACAGCTTCTTTTCCCACCTTCCAAAAAACAGTCAACAATGCAAAGGAAAGCCATATTACAATTATAGCGCATTCTTCATTAGTTGACAGCAATGGAGATAACTTGCATCATATCACATAAAACACGGAAATCTAATCTTCAGATCAAACAATAATGTGAAGTTATACATATACTAATGGTTTAAATTCTTTTGCCTCGAAGGTCCAGACATTTGGTGTGCAGGTGCCATGCAAGAAAATAGACGATTTGACAAGTGGGGTCGTAATGGCACAAGTCTTACAGAAAATGTGAGTTTGAAAGTATAATATTCTGTCTTTCTGTTATCTGAACATAATCCTTTGTTTTACATTTTTTAATCCTAGTTCTGTGCAAACTACACCCAAATAGTCTATATATATCTTGTGAAATAAAATGCAGTAATAAGTTCTGTGATGCAGCTGCACCTATTTCTACAGCAATAACCTTGTGTACTTTGTGCGCAGCTTGTCCACAAACCTCCAATCGTTGTAAACACTGTGTCTGTATAGTTTTCTGTATGTTTGATTGTGGACAGAAATGGGGGTGGAAGAAAGCTGTTAAAAAGCCAAGGATTTTTGAAAGGTCACTGCACTTCCTTAAAAACAAGTCACTCAATCTCATTGCAAGTGCCGTTTATTCATCTTGTGAACAAAAACAGAAGTTGCTTGAAAAGCTCAGCAGGTCTGGCAGCATCTGTGAAGAAAAATCAGAGTTAATGTTTCAGGTCTGGTGACTATTACTCAGAACTGCTGAGATGCTGAGCTTTTCCAGCAACTCCTGTTTCTGTTCCTGATTTACGGCATTCATAGTTCTTTCGGTTTTTATTTCCGTTTATTCACCTGTTAGTTCAAGCAGTGAGGAAAGGCACATTACAGATGAGCTCGAGTCAATGGGCTCTGTATAAAAGGGAAGAAACCGTTTTTAACTCTACAGTAAAAAAGCACCTTAAATCTGAAGATAGCCAATTTACTTCTTGTTACCAGTTGCTGGAAGCTGTGACTTATAAGTTCTACCAATTAGAAGCGTGAACCAGTCACATTATGCGTCTTGCACACTAGTGAAAATACCTCAAAGGAAGGTCGAGAATGGTTCTCTGGTTAGCAAATGTATCATTTCAGCAAATGCTGTGGACAGAAATGACTGAATTACCTTACCAGTCTTTCCCTCAACTTGTGACACCTGTGGGTTTGTTTTTGCATGTATGCATGGTTAGAGAGGGAATTTTATAAGTGGGTTAGGGTTTTGACTAGTAGTGCTGTATGCTGATAGTTTATAATTATTCATCTGTAGCAAGACTTTATTTGTAATAAATAGTAATTCTTGTGAAGTAGAGGCACCTGCTTCATACTTCCTGTCACCTGGGTCTAAAAGACAGATAAATCGAGGAAATTCTGCATATCGTTTAAAATCTTTAACTTTGTGGTGATTCCAGGGGCAGCCAGGTTTGATTTCTAGTGTGCTAGTTCGTGATGCATAACACTTTGCAAGTGCAGTTTTCAGTTTGTCAGTTATAGTGGAAAAGTCTACATTTTCCATCACCTCTTACACTCCTTTCAATTCCCTCTCTTCTCACTCCTCTACCCTGAATTCCTTACTTCAGTGTCAAAGCAACTGGATATATATTCTTGTGCTTATAAAATCACTTCAGTTGTTTTTTTCTTTGACTGCCAATTCCTTTCAAAGTTAGACAAAATAATGAAAGAACTGCGGATGCTGGAAATCTGAAACAAGAACAGACATAGAAATTGCTGGAAAATCTCAGCAGGTCTGGCAGCATCTGTGAATACAAACCAGAGTTAACATTATGGGCACAATGACCCTTCTTCTGAACTGAAAACTGAAAAAGGGTCGCTGGACCTGAAAAGTTAACTTTGATTTTTCTCCATAGATGCTGCCAGACCTTTTGAGATTTTCTAGCAATTTCTGTTTTTGTTCTTATGGAAGCTGTTTTATTTCCAGTAGAAACATTTTTATGGTAAATAATATGTTTCAGGAAATGGTATCTGATGTATCAGATATGGTCAATTCCTGGAGCATACTGGAATGTTTGATATTGGCAGTTGATCAGAACTTGTAGGATGAGGCCCAGTTATGATGTAACTACACAGATTTTTAGATGCTCTCCCTGTGCTTGTTTTCCCTGCATTTCACTGTTCTCGTTTCATAGAAATTTCATGATACTTATATGCAATATTTAGCTTATCAAGGAGGAGCTTTGTTTTTCAATACTTATTTTAGCTTCATTTCTATTAATTTAACTCTCATTTAAACTTCAGCATTGTTAAATCCGGTTGTTTAGCTGTTTGGACTTTCCATATCCTTCACTTTTAGACCTTGGTGCGTTTTATAAACTTCTTAGCCCATGATTGACTGACTAAAAATGAATTCAAAAAGCAAGTTAAGTTGAAATTTGCAGTTTTAGCATTGAGTTTAGGTTTCTTTCATGAAAAGCTGACATCTTAAAGCCATACTTGGTCCAGCTGTCTCTGAAAGGTTTGCTAGTAGCCTATAGAGCAAAAGGTGTAAATACTTGAAGCCAACAGTAAATTTAGTAAGACTTCTATTTGGTTATCTATGGTTTTGAATTTCCACTTTTTGAAGATGTGCCTCTAACATCTTACTTAATGGAGAGCATAACCTCTCAACGCCACTTTATTTACTTAACCAAGTATTAAGTGACTGTTGATTTTCAGGTTCAGGCAATTCTTGAATTTTCATGAATGCTTTATATTTCAACTGATCAATATCCAAGATGAAATGTGATGTGCATTTACATATTAATTGGTAATGCATGCATTTTTAAAAAGAAAATAAATTTGTCTTTAATTTGCAGAGATCAATCATGGTTTGATGAAACCTGGATGAGTCGTATCAAGACAGAAGTGGGGGACAACTGGCGACTAAAGGTAATTTGTCTTTGTTATTTATTGGCTATAGTTCACTTTAAAATCCCCAATAGAGGAAAATCAGAAGAAAACTGAATGAAGGGCAAGAATAGAACAGTTAACTTGTATGTCATAGAGCTTTGTGCTGCAACTAAGAATTGATTTATTTTCTGATTTAAGAACAATTTTCAAGTAACATTAGCACAAGTAACATAGTCACAGTGCCAGGGACTCTGGTTTGATTCCAGCCTTGGGTGACTGTGTGGAGTTTGCACATTCTCCCCGTGCCTGTGGTTTTTTCGCTGGGTGCTCCAGTTTCCCCCCTCAACTTCGGACTGTGGAAGTCAAGTAGTGTCCAGGTATGTGTAGGCTAGATAGATTAACCAGGGTAAATGTAGGGTTATGGAGATAGGATGGGGTCTGGGTGTGGGTGGGATGCACTTCAGAAGGTCGTTGCAGGCTCGTTGGGTTAAATGGCCTTTCTCTGCTCTGTAGGGATTCTATAATTAGATTGATTTTAATAGCCAGGGAAAGGACTTTGCAAAGTCTATCCAAAATAAACCATAGGTCAGCTAAACCTATAAGATTAGCCAGTGGTGTAAATATTAGGCAATTTCTGTCTGCAGTGAGGTATCTGCAACAAACCTGAGGCTTTGTTTTGAGATACTTAATGACGATCGTATTATTTTGACATAAGTAGAGGCATATGTAGCTCAGGACTAAGGTGCAAAAACAAAATAACAATAGTGGTCTAATCACTGGTTAGGCATCAACTATACTGATGTGTCCAATTCCAGACCACAATTCAGGAAGGTTACCAAGAGCTCAGAGACGTTATGGAAGAGATTTACTAAAATGGTGTCAGTGATAAAGAACTTTGATTGCAAGGAGAGAACAGAGAAGCTGTTGACTTTTCCTCCTTGGAGCCGAAAAATCAAAAGTGACATTTAATCAGAATTCAAAAATGAGGGATGCTGTGATAGACTGGCTGGAGAAGCTGACTTCACCTGTCCAGGTTCAGTAACTACAATAGGTAATTGACAAATGAAATCTATAGGAGAAATAGTTCTTTAAAATTATTCAGTGAGTTATGAGTTGGAATGTAAGACCGAATTGATGGTGGACGTACTTTCGATATCTACTATTTAAACAAAATTTAGTATCAACTTGAAGCACATTATGGGACTGTAGGGTAAGAGCAGGGATTTGAGGCTCTTGTAACTCTTCCTCAAAAGACTGATGTAAGCCTAATAGGATAAAAAGCCTCCTGCGCTGAATGATTTAATGATTCAGAATCCTCACTGCTAAACCTCAGGTACTGAATGCTGGAGCCATCCATTGTTCAGCAGTATGTTAGCTTTGTTTGAAGGCCAGGAGAAACAGTGCAAGAATGAGAGGTGTAAGGAAAATCAATTCTTAAATATAGCGTATATGCTGAAGATTCTTACACTGATATAGCTGCGAAACGGCATGCACAGAAGATAATGGTGGGCATTGCAGTTGAACCTGAGCAAATTGCAAAGCAAGGTCATGGAATGGAGGGATTTTTAAATGAGAATTTATAGCTTGGACAAGAACAGAGGTTTTGAAATGAAGGGCAAAAGATTAATGGAAATTTTTTTTAAAATGTAGATGCATTCAGTGCGTTCAGGTACCTCAAAAATATTTTGACAGCTAATTAGTGCTTTGAAATGCAGTTACTGTTTAACCATGGGAAATGTAGAAGCCAGTTTATGCACAGCAAGTTTCCATAAGCAGTAAGGGAGTAAATGACTGCATAAACCAACTGTTTTATGGCTGGATTGCAAGTTAAATGTTGACTAAGAAACCAGGAGACCACCTTTGCTCTTATTTGAATATCACCACTGGATGTGTAATGTCTAGTTGAAGTCTTCTCTAAATGATGACCGCTGTAACAGAGCACTATCCCTTGGCATGCACTGAGTTGGCTCGAGGGTTATAGGCTGACAGTCCTGGGGTGACAACTGAGCCCACAACCATTTTACTCTCGGTCAAATGAGTCAAATTTTAAACACCTACACTAGAACTGTGATGTGGATGGCAGACAATGGGGTTTAGCTTTGCAGAACACATGCATGAAAATTTCACATATGGGAATAAAATAGGACTAGCTGCTGATAATGTGCACTTTTAAACTCTGTATGAGAGTGTGCCTGGGAGAAGAGTTAGATGATCAGTTTTAGGATACGTCTATCCTTTTCACTTGTAGAATGCAGCTCGTAGTGCCTTGAGTTTCAGCCTGCTGTCGAGATCAGTTTGTAATGGAATCTGAGATTAAAAAATGTGCTGTTTTAACTAAGTTACTGGAGAAACTGACACCATTTCAGAGCTTCCTCCATGTTTTGGAAATAAGGCCTTGGCAGGATATAGAATTGGAGCATATCTAATTTGATAAGTTTGCTTTTGATGAAAGTAGTTTTTTGAGACAAACGATAATGCTTAACTTAGTCTGATAGAATTCAGCTGATCGAGCTGTTTTAATTGCATTCACTGGTATGAGTTGCATCAAAAATAATCTGGAAAAGTGAATTTTAAACAACATTTTTTCACTCAGGCTTGGTCAACTCTCATTTCCAGGCCATTCTATAACCTAAGCCGGTTGCACTAGGAACAATTGTCTAAACTACTGATGTCACAACTTGGCCAGTTGTTAAGCTGTTGTAAGGAAAAGTAGTTCCTGTCCCTATCTGATTCAATTTGTGACCTTGATATTACTAGCTAATAAGCTGATACCTATCATTTTTAGATCGTGTGTTTTGCCACCAAATCTACAAAGATTTCCCCTCTATCAAGTTCAGGATTCAAAAGATTAAATATCAAATAAGATCATAGTTATTTTGTAATTTAAAAATGGAAATTTCTACCAGAAAGAAACAAACTTCTGTAGCAATCTTTCTATGCAGGAATAATGGAGTTATCAAGACAATTTCTTAGGGGATAAGAAGGCTCCTCTTATGCCATTTTATCTAAATAAAACTTGTAGTACTGCTAATACTTTCAGAAGAATGCGCAGTTTGTTTCCCTCCTTTAGTCTGCTACTAGATTAAAAAACATAATTACTTTTTTAGATTTTGTTAAATACCTCCATTGCAGTTCGTATTATTACCACATTATGGCCTTGTAGTCTACTAAAGGCTCCTTGGGCTTGATTGTACTTTCACTCTGAAGCATAGTGGACAGTAAGCAAAGATATTATGACTTCCTGACCTGCAATCAGTAAAAATAGGCGACAACACCTCCTCCACGGTAATCATCAACACTGGTGCCCTGCAAGGATGCGTACTCAGCCCCTTACTGTACTGTTTGTATACTTACAACTGTGGCCAAATTCTGCTGTAGCTCCTTTTACAAGTTTGCCGTTGACACCATCATAGTGGATCGGATCTTAAACAATGATGAGAGTACAGAAGAGAGAGCTTAGTGGCTTGGTGTAAAGACAATAATCTCCCCCTCAATGTCAGTAAAATGAAAGAGCTGGCCATCGATTTCAGGAAGCGGAGTAGAGGACATGCTCCTGTCTGTGTGAATGGTGCAGAGGTGCAGATGGTCGAGAGTTTCAAATTCCTAGGAGTAAATATCACCAACAATCTGTGCTGGTCCATCTATGTTGATGCTAAGGTCAAGAAAGCACACCAATGCCTCTATTTCCTCAGGAAGCCAAAGAAATTTAGCATGGCCACAATGACTCTTAGCAATTATTATAGATGCACAATAGAAAACATCCTACCCAGATGCAATATAGCTTGGTATGACAACTGCTCTGCCCAAGACCACATGAAATTACAGAGAGTTGTGAACGCAGCCCAGTCCATTACGCAAGCCAGCCTTTCATCCGTTGGCTCCGTCTATTCTTCCCGCTGCCTTGAGAAATCAGCCAACACAATCAAAGACCCTTCCCACCCTGGTTATACTCTCTTTCACCTTCTTCCATCGGACAGAAGATACAAAAGTTTGATTCAAGAACAGCTTCTTCCCTGCTATTATCAGACCTTTGAACAGACGTCTCATATTAAGGTTGATTTTTCTCTGCCCTTCTCTGTAGCTGTAACAATTTTCTGCATTCTGTTCTATCATCCTGATGTACTTATGTAAGGTATGGTTTGCCTGGATAGCTAGCAAAACAATACTTAACTGTATCTTGGTAATAAATCAAATCAAATGCGCTGTAATATTGGCCAAGCTGGTATTATGTTCTGAAGAAGGGTTACCAGACTGAAATGTTAACTCTGATTTCTCTCCACAGATGTTGCCAGGCCTGCTGAGTTTTTCAGCAGTTTGTGTTTTTGTTTCTACTTATAGCTAGATTCTGGTGTGATCCACTGAGGTACTAATATCCAGCAAAGAAAAAACATGCAGTCAGTCTTACAGTTTTTTTTCTTTTTATTAAGAATTGCTTGCTTAAATTGATGAATTTTCAGTTGCCTTTGTATTATGTTTGCACATTTTTACTTTACAGGTTAGCAATTTGAAGAAAATTTTGAAAGGAATTATGGATTATTATCATGAGGTGAGATAGTTTTGCTTCAGAATTATTTTGAAAATGTTTAGAAATAATCGCCATAATTACAAGCAGTCCTTGGGTTGTGAACGGATTCTGTCCTTGAGTCCGTTTGCAAGTTGAGTTGTCTGCAAGTTGGAGCAGAATGCAGGACAATACAAAATAGCTGTTCATAAGTACGAGGCAATGTTTGTATGTCAGATCTTGAAAATTGATATTAATACACCCCTTTATAGGATTATATCCAAAAGCATAAGTATTCTTAAGTCGGACGTTCGTAAATCTTGAAGCCCCTCTACAGTTTAAGGATTTCAGTCTTATCTATAGAATATATATATAGAATATAGCATTCCTGTTAAAAAGAACTGATCATTTTGAAGCTTCTCATATTCTCTTGTACTTGCACGGGTGCATGACGAACCGAAATTGAGTGCCCCAGTTCTTGCACTATATTCACAGTCTGGTTTTCTGGTGAGGGTTGTTCAGCTGCCCACACCTATTGGGAATATGCTATTTTCTAATGTTTACAGGTGGTGTTTTTTGTGATGAGATCAGAACGCAAGGTGCTATTTTAAAAATGTCATGTTCTCCCAGTTATAGAACATAGAACATTACAGCGTAGTACAGGCCCTTCGGCCCTCGATGTTGCGCCAACCTGTGAAACCAATCTGAAGCCCATCTAACCTAAACTATTCCATTATCATCCATATGTTTATCCAATGACCATTTAAATGCCCTTAAAGTTGGCGAGTCTACTACTTTTGCAGGCAGGGCATTCCACGCCCTTACTACTCCAAGTAAAGAACCTACCTCTGACATCTGTCCTATATCTATCACCCCTCGATTTAAAGCTATGTCCCCTCGTGCTAGCCATCACCATCCGAGGAAAAAGGCTCCCACTGTCCACCCCCCTATCTAATCCTCTGATCATCTTGTATGTCTCTATTAAGTCACCTCTTAACCTTCTTCTCTCTAACAAAAACAGCCTCAAGTCCCTCAGCCTTTCCTCATAAGACCTTCCCTCCATACCAGGCAACATCCTGGTAAATCTCCTCTGCACCCTTTCCAATGCTTCCACATCCTTCCTATAATGCGGTGACCAGAACTGTACGCAATACTCC